AGAGTCAAACAGACCCCAATGCTCCTCCATGGGAGAAAGCGGGTCTAGCTGAGGACGTGTGGAGAGATCGGTGGGCACGGCAAGCTTGTATCAAGTGTGGCCAATATGGTCATAACATGTACAAGTGCCGCAATAGGAAGGTCACCGAGAAGATCCCGCCCACTATGGGGTCGGCAGTAGGATCCTCTCAAACCTTTGGAAGCAACGTTGCTAGCTCTTCAAGCAATGCTCCGGGAAACACGTCGGGCCAGTAGGGAGAGTAGCTGTTCCTACTAGGGTCGCGATGGTGGATTCACCCTCACCTTCGCGAGAGATGGCCCAAGCTACAGACTCTTCAGTCGTCCCGCAAATACATTCAGACTCGTCGACCCTCTGTTCGATGAATGTGTTTGAATCCTTACAGGAGCTAGAGCATGAGTGGTCTAGATCAGATCCACTAGCTTCTTGGACGGCGTTAGTTAAAGCCCCTAAGAGTGAAATGTTCGTCCGCGAGGCAGTCATAGGAGGCCGTAAGGCCGAGGCCTATTACGACACTTGCTCGACTAGAAACTTTATGAGCCGCGCGTGCGTTGAGAGGTTGCGCTTACAGGGGCAAGTGCAGCGCCTGAGTCGACTTGTGGAGTCGACCTGTGCCAACAAACAGCGTATGGTAGTTAATGACTACCTCCATGATGTAGAGTGTGTTTTCTCGTACGCGGGAGGGGACTTGAGACATCGTGTCTCGTTTCTGGTAAGTGACGAGCTCCCAATGGACATGTTACTAGGTATGTACTACCTCTCTGTAGCACAGCCCCAGTTTGACTGGGACCGAAAAGTGGTCAAACACACGTTGCCAGGTGGACGGACCGCCAGATTACATAAGTTCAAAGCTAGTAGTCTGATTGAGTCCTATAGGTGCATGTGCGCGGCCGCATTCTATAATTATTATAAGCAAAATCAGGAAGAGGGTATGTACTTAGTCTATGTCTCTGCTGCAGGAGAGCCGGTGAAAATGCCTCCAGAGATAGAGGGAGTAGTTGCTAAGTACCCTGATCTATTTGAAGAGCCGACAGGGGTTGTTGAGAGGGAGGTTGTCCACGCGATAGAGATTATCCCAGGGTCTAGTATTCCAAAGGGTAGAATCTATCGGATGTCTCCGAGCGAGCTTGATGAGCTTCGCCGCCAACTCAAGGAACTCGTAGAGAAGGGTTGGATCCGGCCGAGTGTCTCTCCTTATGGATCTCCAGTTTTATTCGTGCCTAAGAAGAAGGAGGGAACTCTAAGGATGTGCATTGACTATAGGGGCCTCAATGCCATCACGGTGAAGAACAGAGAGCCCCTACCGCGCATCGATGATCTGTTAGATAGAGTGCAAGGGTGTCGGTACTTCAGTAAAATAGATCTGAAGTCCGGGTACCATCAAATTGCGATCCGGCCCGAGGATCAACACAAAACCGCATTTCAAACCAGGTACGGTCTATACGAGTTTGTGGTGATGCCTTTTGGCCTTTGCAATGCTCCT